ATGACGATAGGACGCAGTTTTTATATAGAAATTGCTGTGGCATGGTTGTTCTCTACACTTTCCATGCCTCACTGCACATGACAACTTTCCCGCTTATTTATTTATTTTTAGTTGTCATTTCTTTCTCTTCGCACTGATTGGCGGGGTTGTTTTGTTGTTGGCTTTTTTGCTTCTTTTTCTTTCTTTAAGAGGCGGAAAAATAATATTTCTTATTTTCTCTGTGGGTGTGTACGGCTGCTTCCTTTTTTTTTAGTTGTCCGGCCAATTTTTTGCCCTCTTGTTTTTTTTTTTTTATTTGTTGTTTCTTTCCATGTCTCTTGAAAGTCCCGCAGTCGCACGTAGCAGGCGCGACAACACAAACACACACAAAAGGAGGGAGAGAAAGCGCAACGTTTCAATGGGTGTTGGCTCACACAAACGGTCGCAGGGCGAGGCGGCCTTCACGCAGACGTCTCATGCCCCGCCGCTGCCTGCGCTTCTTCGCCCGCAGTTTCAGGTATTCGGCGAGGAAAATCTGAACGCCATCGACCGACGGCTGAGGCGAGGCGAGGCGGAGCGCATGGAGGAGAAAAAAATACAGGAGCGATGCGCGAGGGTTCGCGAGCGGCGGAATGCGGAGTCGCAGCGAAACATCGAAATGATCCAAAAGCGAACTGCACGACACGCTTCAGCAGCGGGACTCGTTGAGGAGCGTCGTCTGCGGGCCGAGTTTCGCCAGCTGTGCCGTTGGTAGCGGGGGCCAGCCGGGCTGACGAGTGGTGGACGGCTTTGTGTTGAACGGTTCCTGTTGGCATTGGAGTGGCCGCACTGCGGCGAGCTCATAGAAGTAGAAATGTGTCGTAGATGTTGGAGGTGTTTACATGACCTCTTTTAAGAGCCTTTTTCCATGACTCCTTTTTTTTTTTTTTTTTGTTCTTGTTGATATCTTTGTCGTTTTTATTTATTTATTTATTTGTTTTTGTTTACATGTCACGTTTGTTTTTGGCAAAATTTTTTTTTTTTTTTTTTTTAAACTCGCTCAGTCACCCGCTTACGCCTTTTTTTTTTTTTTCTTCTGTATTTTGTCTGCTTCTGTTGGAGGACTTGACGGCGGTGGCGGCGGCGACGGTGGTGTCTACAGCCAACACAGGGAGCGAGTAGGGAGTGTGTGGGCTTGGCTGTCCATTCGGGGAGGCAACAGAGGCGGAGGGTGCGTACAGGGAAAGCAACGAGCAGCGACAGGAGGCGGAGGTGTCAGGCATGTCTGAGCACAAGAACCCTGCCCGTGTCGATCAGTACGACTCGGGCACATACACGCGGAAGGGACAAACAACCCGTGTTGTGGTTCGTGAGAAGCCGTTTATTAAGTCACGGTCTCAGCGGTTTTTTGAATTTCTCCGCCCCTCCACCCGCACCGGCTTTAACGTGGTACAAGGGTTTGAGCTAGCGAAGGTGATGGTATGTATCGTGTTTCCTATTTTCATGTTACTTTACTGGAAACACATGCAGAAGAGACTTCCCGACCAGTGGGAGAGTCAATTTGCAGGGTTGCAGCATCGGAAACTTAAGGAGGATGTGCTGCAGGAGCAAGAGACGGATTACTTTACGATCATTGAGACATTTAAAGAGCGTCGCGAGAAGGCTTTGCAAAAAAAGCAGAAGGAAGCGAGGGAGGCGAACCAACAGTTTAAGCAATAGCCAACACAAAAGGAAGACGGCGCAAAGGCCGCAACACCGCAATTTGAAAACAGAAAAAAAAGAAAAAAGGAAAACCAGGAAAGGGATTGAGAAAAAGGAGGGACGTAAAGCGGATGACTCTGATGCCTTCCCCCCTCCCCCTAAAGGCCTTTTCTCTTTATGCTGCTTCTGGTTGCATTAGTGCATTTCATTGTTTTAGCCGCGTTATTGTTTTGATTTTCTTTGCCTCTAATTTATTACAGGGCCGCAATACCCTCCCCTCTCTCTCTCTCTCCACACACACACACACACTCTTTTACTTTCTTGTTCTATCTGTCCCTGTTTCCTTTCTTTTCTTTTCTTTTTTCTTTTTTTTTAATTTTTTGTTGTCATTTGTGCAACTCCAGTTGTTTTTATTTTATTTTATTGCCTTTCACAGCGTAGATGGAGGACAACAACGGTCCCAAGCGGGCGCGCAGTGAGGCGATGGAGGATACTTCCAGCAGGTCGACGACACCCCTGCAAGTGGATCAGTCTGCAACGCCCGAGGCGACCCCGGCACGTGACCCGTTGCTGGAGGAGCAGATGGACCAGCTCGGTGTGGATGAGGACTTTAAGGCATCTTTGCGTTGCATGTCGCCGAATACGCGAAGGGATGTGATGAACGATATTATACGGGGCCAGCAGCAGGAGCGGACCACGATGGCGACCCCGTTTGGGTTGCTTTCTATCCTGGGTGAAACTTCCATTTTACCGCTTTTCAGTGGCGTAGATGTGCGTCTCTCCGTAGAGGAGGATTCGGAGGATGAGCAGAGGGGATCGGATGGCTCGAGGGCGCACTCCTCGCCGCGGCGAATGTCCCCAAGCAGTGGGGCCGATGATAGGTCTGAAAACTCGAGAATGGAGACACCGGCGTTGCGAGAACAGGTTTTGCGCTCTCAGATGCTTTACTTACTTCACATCATGCGCGGCTCTCACATCGCTAACACCATTTCTGAGGCCATTGCGCAGCGGTCGCTGGGGATCACGCAGGATATTGATGACATGTCGTATGAGCAGCTTTTGGAACTTCAGGAGCGGATTGGGTTTGTCAGCAAGGGTATTACCAGGGAGCAGATGCAGCAGTGCATGCAAGATGTGCCGTGGCCGAAGGAGGGCAGCTGTGTGGTGTGCCAGTCCGAGTGGCAAGATGGCACAGACGGCAACGAGCGGAGTGTAGAGCTGAAGGTGTGCCACCACATTTTCCACCAACGCTGCATTGAGCAGTGGCTGGGGTCCAACAAGACATGCCCGGTGTGCAAGAAGGACGTTGTGTGAGGCATGCAGAGACACCACCACCCTTCCTGCCGTGACGCCCAAAAGGAATCAACGAAAGGAGTAATGGGAGGGAGGCAAGCACACAGAAGTCCGCACACACACACACACACACGCGGGTCCGCATTGCGCAATGGTACCGGCGACCTGCCACCGCGAGCATCTCCCTCTCCGACAAGCAGTTTGAACAGGTCCGAAAGTGCAAGAAAGCGATAAGCATTAGAAAAAAAAAAGAAAAAAAGAGAGATAAAAAAAAAAAAAAAGAGATAAAAAAAAAGAAAAAAAAGAAAGAAAAAGAGAAATGAATAGCAACAACAACAACAACAACAAAAAAAAATCAAAAAGAAGAATGTGAAATAAAAAAACAAAAAGAGGGATGAGTGGAAGTAAGTAAATACATTTATATATACATATATATAAATATAAATACATATGCATGTATGTATGTTTGGCTTGTATGAATTACCAACCCAAAACAACTGGTGACGGTGGTGAATGCACGAGGAGGTGCACTCCAGCAGGAGTATTGGGTGGGGTACGACGAAAGAAAACAACAAAAACAAAAAGGAAGGGATTAGTGGATAAACGACGGCAACGAATCAACAACGAGAGCAGAAAATGAAAACAAAAACAAAAACAAAAACAGCAACCAAAAAAAAAAAAAAAAAGGCGCTGGTGATGATAAGTTTCCGTGGAAACTCAGCACAAAATATTTTACACGGATGCCATTAACAACAACAACAACAACAAAAGAAAACAAAAAAAAAAAAAATAGATTTTTGCCGTGGATGAGGGCTGGACGACGCGGATGGGGAGTCGATGCGAGGCAATTTTTTTTTCTTTCTTGGTGGGTGGGCGGGCAGTAGTAAATGAAAGACGGGGAAAAAATGAGGCATGAGAAGAGGGCAGATGTACGGGAGAGGAAGAATGAGCCTGCGCATGTAATGTGCGTAATCCGTAGAGCGGCTGAGCGGCGCTTGTGTGTGTGTGTGTGTGTGTGTGACTGTTGGGTGGTGGTGGTGGACGGAAGGCAGGGGGATCTTTCACGTTATTATTATTATTTTGTTTCTTATCCCGTCTTCCCCTACGCAGCCCCTTCACCCCCCCGCCACCATTTTGCAGGGCAAAAAAGGGGGAGTATAAAAAGAGAAATGGAACTTAACGTCACTTCACCATGCCGTCTTTTTTTTATTCTTTTTTTTGTCTTTTTCTTCTTCTTTTTACATTGTTTTCTGTCTTGTCGCCATCCTTTTCTTTTTTTTTTCTTTTTTCCATGTATGCTTGTGAATATGCCTTTCTTTCAATGCCTGCTCGTTGTTCCTTCTCTTTGCCGCTTATATGAGTGGTGCTGTCTGCCTGTCTGCCTGTGTGGGCGCAGAGGGGCGTGCCGCGAAGGAGGGCAGAGGAGGGGCTGGGGCCGGATGGCGGAGAAAATGACAGCAGGCACCGAGGAGCCACTCCTCTTCTCTCCCTGAGGAAACGAGGCGGCAATGCCGACGGACGGAACAGCGGGTGGGGAGAGTGGGGAAAAAGGATAAAGCGCAGATATGTTTTTATTCCATTCCTTTTCTTGACTGGCTGCTGCACCGCGATGCGTTTTCTTCCCCCCCTTTCCCCCTTTCCCCTTTTTTCTTTCCTTTTTTTTTATGTTTTTAATGGCGATCCGTCACCTCACTCCCCGACGGGACGCGGCAGGCGTCACCATTGAAGGCGACGGAAAGGGGTTAGGGTGGGATGAGGGAGAGCAGAGCGACACAATCGGCAGAAAACATAAAAATTTTTTTGTGTGCTTTCCTTCTGACTGCTGATTTGCTGGCGGTCTTATGCGGAATAAACGGCGCCGAAAGAAGAAGAAGAAGAAAAAAGCAACAGAATGAAAAAGGAAACAACAACAACAACAACAACACGTTTTTTTAAATTTGTTTAGTTGCATTGTTTGCGGTTTGCCGTACGCAATTATATTTGTGTTGTCTGCATACTGGCGCGTATTGTAAAGCCCACGGTTTCTTGTCACCTACTTATTTGGTTTTTTTTTTTTTTCTAGTGCGTGTGTGAGTGTGTGTATTTGCGTTTGTGTGCGTTTGTGCGGATGCGCTGAAAGCAAATAAACGAAATGAATGCAATTTAAAGTGTTGACGTTGTGAATGAGAAGAAGGATGCATGTTGTTTGCGTGGAGAGTCATTGAACCCGCATGGGACATGTGGTGCCGGTGCATGCATGAAATGTGGGTGGAATGACTTTTTTTTTGTTGCTTTTTTTTTTTTTTTTCTCTGTGTGTGTTGTTATGCACAACAGTACTGGCAGGTAGCGATGTCATCTGGGCTTTTTGCCTTGTATGAGGATGACTTCAATGAGAGTTCACGGGAGGTGCGGGCAGCGGCGGCAGCCTTGCAGGAGTCGTTAAAACAGGATTCCAGTACGTATGAGCCTCCACCCACGACAGGGCCTCAAAGCCGCGGACACCACTGCGAGGTGATGCAGCAGGGACTGGCGCACATGCGCGAACTTGTAACGAGCATGCTGTATGAGAGCAATGATGTTGAATCGGGTGAGTTACGCAACGAGGTAAGGCGACGCGTGGAGGATTACAAGCAGGTGGTCACTGTTCTGGAGGGGGAATTGTTTAGACTGCGGCAGGACTCGAAGAACGCGGACAGGATGGATCTCATATCGGGTGGCAATGATACATTGGATGAAGCAAACCAGGAGGCACGTGCCTTTATGCTTGAGAACACACAAAGGTTACGTCAAGGCACCACAACATTGGAGAGAGCAGAGAGAGCCCTGCACGGTGCAAGTGATTTGGGCACCTCAACTCTTAATACGCTTCGCACACAAACGGAGACGGTGCGGCACTTTCACGCGACTGTTCATGATGTGGATTCACAGGTCATGGAATCACGTAGACTCGTTAACCAAATGCAGCGCACAGCGATGAAACACAAGTTATGGCTTATAGGCATCATAGTTGGTTTGTTTCTTTGCATCATTTTAGGAATATATGTCCGGCGCTAGTCGATTGGAAGACTTTTATATGTGCTTTTTTTTTTTTTTTTTCATTATCATTTTCCTTGTGTGTGTGTGTGTGTGTCTTTTGTTTGTTTTTGTGCTGTGGTTTGCGTCAATGTGTTGTCTTTGGCATCCCGCTTTTGCCGTCGTCCTTGTGGGAGGTTATGATTATTATTTTGCTTTTTTTTTTTTTTTTCATTTGTGCCTGTTGCGCTTGCTGGAAAGGGGGTGGGAGGGGCGCGTCATGTCGACGCTGTTCCAGAGCTACGAGGAGGAGTACCGCGATGTCGTCAAAAGTATCCGCGAGGGTCTCGACGGGCTGCGCGCGACGCTCAAGCGCGAGGCGGACGGCTACAACGCCCCGCCGGCCACCGGCCCCGCAAGTCGTCTGCAGCGCGGCGCGCAGCTCGTGAAGCTGACGACACAATTGAAGGAGCTGCTGAACAACATGGAGTACGAGTGCAACGATGTCCCTGTCGTCCACCGGCCGGCGCTGCGGGAGCGACTGGCGGAGTGTCGGAGGGGCGCACGGGAACTGGAGGAGGAAATCGCGAAGACGCGCGGGGAGTGTGCCGCCGCCGACCGCCTGGACCTCATGGGCGCCCCGGAGAAAAAAGGGTCGGCTCCCGTGGATGCCAGGGCTTTGGGCCTCGACGATGAAACCGCAAGGCATCGCCTGCAGATGATGCAGAATACGGAGAAGGTGAAGCAGGCCTCGGGTACTTTGAACCGGGCCGAGCGGCTGCTGAACGAGACGGAGGAGACAGGGGCGGCGGTAATGAAAAACTTGCGCACCCAGACAGAGACGATACAACGCATCAACGCCACAACGACGGGCGTCAATGAGGAAATATCTGAGGTGAGCAAGATACTCACAAAAATGCATCGAACGATGGTCAAACACAAAAGTATGCTGATTGGTATAATTTTGGTGCTTGTTGTTCTTATATTTGTGGCATTGTACGTTTCATTTTTGAAACACAAGAAGGAAACGCCAGTGCAGCCGTCGCAGACACCAACGGATGCACCGGAGTTACCAAAATGGGGTCCAGATTCAGGTGGTGGCTTACCCGTTGATTGAATACACTCATCTGCCAATGGTGTATATATATTTATATATATATTTAGTTTTGCGTGTTCATGCGTGTTTCGTATTTGCTTCTAAGATGGAAGTGGGATGCAAATGAAAAAGTAATTAAAGAGTGTGTGGATGTGTCTGTGCGCATATGTGGGTATCTGCAATTCTGCTTGAGGCGGGTCAACCACTGAGCATCTTTTTTCTTTTTCTTTTTTCTTTTCTTTTCTTTTTTTTTTTTGTTTCCCACCAATATTAGTGTGCTTGTGATCACTCATTAAGGGGAAAATTATAGGAATTATAAGGAGATTTGGACGCGTCATGTATGCGGAGTCCACCCTGCCTGCTCCGCGAGTGGCGTATGAAAATCTCCTGCAGGCCCTGATGTACGAACGGGACTCCATCAATGACGCCTACGACTCGCTCTTGGGGCTTGTGCGTCAAAACCTTTGCGAGGATGACACGGCGACCCCTGCCACGTGTGTGTTGCAGGGCCTGACTGGGATGCTGCGCTTTATCTTTGAACGGCTGTACCAGCACACAAGCGAGACTGCCCTGACATTTGTGAAGGAGATCGGCCTGGGATCCGAGGAAGACGCGTGCCTGGAGGCGGTTGCGGCGCTGCATGACGCCATAAAGGCGAAGATGTTTGCCCCTAACGCGCGAATGAGCGACGCCAAAGAACGGAATAAACACGCTGGGGAGGGCGGGGAGAAGTTGCGGGGCGCCCGTCAGAAGTGTTGTATCTTTGCGGTTTCTTCTCACTACGAATGGGGGGCGAAGCAGGAGATTCTCGAGGCTCTCACCCACAAGCTCCATCACACAACCGTGGTGCTGCAGCGGTGTGAGGCAAGCAAGGAACCGAGTATGGCGCTGCAGCTTGGATGCAATGTTCTTATCTCACCGTTCATGCCAACCGCACCTTGCGCCGTTGCTTATGCAACGAAGGAAAAGGTGCTGCAGTACGCTTGTTCCTGCATTGAAGACGAGATTGACGACGAACTGGATGCGTTGCTTCATGCACTCGACTACACCGCACGCCCCAGTACTCCACTGACCGAAGCGGCAACGGTGAAAAGCCCAACGAATGTGGCACCTGTCGTCTCCCGCAATGTTTTACAAGGTGGCATAGCTGCTTCTCCACAGAATGCCACGGGTGCTTTGGGCGTCCATGAATCGATCAAGTGGCAGAGATCAGAGAATAACGGTTTTCAACCCTACACGCAGACGATGAAGCGGCCACGTGTGGATTTACTTTCCATGTCGCCCGCCGTATTGACAGAGCCAACGGATTTCTCGCTGCAGCTTTCGCAGGTTATTCAGTACCAGCGTGATTCCCCCTCTAGAACTGGCCCTGTACTGACTGCAGACCATGCAGAGAATTCTGTATTAGACCCCTCACAATGGCGGTTTCAAATCAGCAATTCTCTTAGGGAGTCTAAGGATGAAGTGGTTAGTGCAATTTCTCTGTTGGGTGGTCGTGTGGATCACAGCAAATCGTATAATCCACAAACAACCCACTTGGTCGTTGCTGAGGGTTTGGCAGAACGCACGGAAAAATATTTGAGTTGCTGTGCTGCACGAAAGTACATTGTATCTCCTCGCTACGTCCTTGAGTCTGCAAAGCGTGGGAAATGGATTGTTGATCGCTTACATGAATATGATAAAAACCCCTTGCGTCATTTGTCAAATGTTTCATCAACACCGCCGTTTCATGGTTGGCGTGTGGTGCTGTTTACATCAACCGCTTCTGTGGACACTGGCATTGTGACGGTACTGAAGGCCGGCGGATGTACGGATATCACGTCGTACATTTTTAATACCGTAGCCGCCCCTAATATAGACTGTAGATGCATAGAGCAGGCTTCTCATCTTTTAGTGGAATGTAAAAATGTCTCGCGAACTGGGCGATTTCTTACACCCCCATGGTTTCCAGATACATTGAAACGACAAGATCATAGGCTGTTTTCTTTAGAATTGCTGCTTCATTTGTTGTGCTTCTGCCCCACTTCCGTATTTGACGAATATGGACGCCCCATCGATACGCTGCAGCTACCACCCTCCTGTCTGCTAGAGATTCCTTTGACCGACGCGCGTCTTCCTGGTAGTTTGGATAGAGCAGTGAAGTAGGCCTTTAACTTTGGATGCGTATATATATTTATATCTCAACCCTTCTTTTTCAAAATTATTTTTTTTTTTTGATTTTTTTTTTTTTTTTTTTTTTTTGCATGCGTGTTGTGCGGGGATGGGGGCTGTTGGTTGCGTTTGTTTATATGTACCGAGGCAACTGTCTTTTTTTAAATTTTTATTCTTTATTGCAATGGATACGCATATAATATATACGATGGACGCATCATGGCGGGTGTAGGGGAGCCTGTGCGAGAGTACGAGTGATAAGGTTGGGGATTTTTATGTTGTGTGGAAGTGGGCGTCTGTCTTTTTTCTTTTTTTTTTTTTTAAATTTAATGCGATGTTATTATTATTATTATTATTTTCTTTTTTTCTTTGCTGAGTGCGGCTTTAAAGGAAGTTATTGACACAAACACTCCGACAGAAATTATTAGATTTTTATTTTTATTTTATTTGTTGTTGTTTTTGTTTACACGGCCGATGGGACCTCCTTGCAACTGCTCGATGCTTATTTCCCTCCTGATCAGCGCATTGTTGGGAAGTTATTTGGTCTACTTGATCGTCTGGGTGCCGGTCTACCGCTACACCGCAAGCATCATTGTCCTGCTGCTGCTGGCCTTCAATTTTTCCGCGTGGCGGTTTTTACCATCGGAACGCGCGTATGTGCGGGAACGGGCGAAAGATGTTGTGAATGAGCGCCTTGCCTTCACCGCACCAACAGCGGTGGCGTGACGCATGAGGCGCCTTCCTCCTTCCTCCTTTTTTTAATTTTTTTTTTTTATTGTTATGCCGTTATGGAGGGTGTGTGTGTGTGTGTGTGCTATTCTCCTTGATGACTGTAATGATTTGGGTTTTCCGGCAATTGCATTTTTCTCATTCTTTACCGAATGATGTGCCACGTGATCCGAGTTGTTTCTTCTTCCATGTGCTCCGAACCAAGAAGTGGGAAGCCGTGGGTGAATCTTCCATTTGTGTTCATTATTATTATTATTATTATGTTTTTTTTTTATTTTCTTTTTCTTTTTTACATTTTTATTTTTTAATTGTTATTATTTCATGCTGACACGCATGCATCTGCGCATGCGTGTCTCTCTCTTTCTGTATGCCTTTACCTGTTGGTGGTGGGCGCTGGGGGTGTCACAAGCCGTGAGGTAGGGCTGTGGGTATTCGCCTTATCTGCGTGCTCTCCTGTAACGTGTTGCATGTATTCACGGCTTTTTTTCTTTTTTTTCTTTTTTTTTTGCCACGGTCACTTTGACTCTCTCTGTTAGTTTGTGTCTGAGTGTGTGTGTGTGTGTGCGTTTAATTTTCTGCGTGTAATAATTGTTTTTTTGTACTTTTTTTGTCGCATTATTTTGTTTTATTCACACATGACGGTGGCGGTGTGCACGGGGAAGCGTGTGGTCCCTGGCGATGTTGTTTACTCCGGCAGTGCGAGTTGCGGCGAGTGGGATCGTGTGGCGGCCGGCGAAGGCTGCTGCACCCGCATTGTGGCCGGTGATTCTTCCGTGGATTCGGCGGAGGTGCGGCAAATCATAGCGACGCGGCTGGGCACCGTGCAGTGGAGCGAGAGCACCGTGTCTGTCCAACGGGCTCCCAAGCGCAGACAAGAGTCCGCCCACGTCGCGTTGATCGCGAACGACCCAAACGACGTCGAATCACCCTCCGCCCTGGCGAGGTCGACCGCAGTCTTTGGCCCGCGGCTGGGGGACACCGTCCACTTGCGTGTGGTGCGCGTCTCGCGTGCCTTTGCCTACGGTGAGATCATCGCTGTCAATGGCGTGTGGTGCAGCAACAGCAGCGTGAGCGTTGGACTGGCGGGGTCGTTCCGCGGCGTGGTGCGTGTTGAGGATATCCGCCCCTTCAAACCAACGAAGGATCAGTTGACGCCGCCACCGCCCGCCGCGGCCTTTCATGCCGGTGATGTCGTCATGGCGACGGTGCTGTCGCAGTCGGACGTGCGGCAGTATCAGCTAAGCACGATGCACGAGCACTGCGGTGTGGTGGAGGCTTCCGTCGTGATGGATCGCGTGCGGGTGAAGCTGCAGCACATTCCTGGACGCCGCGACGCAATGCGGAACCCGGCTGACGGAACGGTCCACTACCGCTGGTGCCCGTTGATCCATCCCGCAGCGGCATGACGCACTTGAGCGAAGGTAGACACGGCAGAGATGCTTTAAAACAATTTTTGCACCTCCTCTCGTCTTTTTTTTCTGTTTTGTTTCTTCCGTCCCTTGTGTGTGTGTGTGTTAAGGAAAAAAAGGAAGGAAGGAAGGAAGGGGGAAAGTGAGTTTGGCCGCAGTTGACTGCTGCACGCCGCATGTTGCTGATTTTCCTTTCGTATACGTGTTTTTCTGTTTGGAAGGCCTGGACACCATCCAAATTTTTATTTTTTTCCTTTTTCTTTTCTTTTCTTTAACAACGGGCGCAAAACAAGAAGGGAAGTAAAATATCACAAATTGTTATTATTTCTTCTGCTAAACATGAAGCTTGCGTTCTCTTTTTTTGCCTATGTCGGCGCCTTTTCTGTCGTGCTGGGCCTCTATCGTCTTGTGAAGTTTTTATACGTCAACCTCCTGGCTTCCACGGATCTAAAGCGTAAGTACGCGCGTGCCGGCGACTGGGCTATTGTGACCGGTGCGACGGAGGGCATCGGCTACGCCATGGCGATGGAACTTGCGCGTCGTGGGTTCAACGTGTGTGTTGTTGCCCGCACCCGTTCAAAGCTGGACGCGGTGGTGGCTGAGATTGAGAAGAAGGGCGTGCAGGGGAAGGCCGTCGTCTTTGATTTTTCCACCGCTGACGCACAGGCGTACAAGAGACTCTTTGCGGAGCTCGAGTTACTTGAGGTGGCCATCCTCGTGAACAACGTTGGCGTCAACTACCCGTACGCCAACTACTTTGATGAAGCGGATGTGGAGGAAGACATGAAAATGCTGAAGGTGAACTGCGAGGCCACGCTGCGCATGACGCGGTTTATTGTCCCCCGCCTGAAGGCGAAGAGGTCGGGCGGGATCGTCTTTCTCTCCTCCATCAGCGCCACCGTGCCGAGCCCTCTGCTCTCTGCATACGCCGGGACGAAGTCGTTAAGCCTCTCCTTCGGCGAGGGGCTCGCGTATGAACTCCAGCAGTTCGGTGTTGACGTGCTTACGGTCACGCCCAGCCTCGTCGTGAGCAGAATGACGCAGGGCGTCAGCTCGCGCAAGCCGAAGGAGACGCTCTTTATGGTCAATGCCGCGGCAATGGCGCATCAGACACTTAACAAACTTGGCATCGTCACACGCACCGCTGGCCACATCAACCACGCGTTGCTGAATTCCTGTCTAAGAATTCTGCCAGAGTCGCTCGTGGCGAACAAAATTCTGACGATGCACCAGGCTATCAAAAGGCGTGCGGAGCGTTCTCGGACTCAGTAAACAATAACAACAAAAACAACAAAAAACTCCACACGAATAAATACAAAATTGCGAAGGAATGAAAATAAGAAGAGAAAAAGAGAAGAAAAAGGGGAGAAATCTCCGTGCCTACTCGTGTGCCCTGCATCTCAATGTAATTTGGGGGGACAAACACACAAGGTATAACTGAAATGGGATACACACATACACACACACATAGACACGTGTTTTGTATGCGCGTATGCATGTATACATTTATTTTAAGAGGTTGAACTGACATTTCCCTTTCTTCCTTCTCTTTTCCTGTTTTTTTTTTTTTTTTCTGCATTTCTCGTGTGTGTATGTGTGCATGTAAGCCAAATGGTACCTAACGTCTGGCGAATGGCTGGGGAGGAGACAAACAAAACAAACAAAAAAACTATTAGGAAGAAAAGGAAAATAAATAAATAAATAAATAAATAAAAAGCGAGTGAATGAAATATAAAAGGGAAGAAAAGACGAAGAAGAAGAAGAAGAAGAAGAAAAAAAATTGAAATTTTATTTATTTTACGCTTCTTATTTTATTTTAATTTATTTTATTTTCTCTTTCTGCCTGTTCTTGCAGCCGCAGGAACTTGGCGTTATTTTTATTTTTATTTTTTTGCCGCAGGTCGATATTATATGCGACAGGCGCAACATACACGTGATGACGCCGCCGCCGTCTCTTCCTCTCTTTTTTTTTTTCTTTTTTCCCACTTGCCCGCCACCCGCTCCGCTCGCTGCATGCGCCACGTGGTTCCGCGATGTGCCCGGGGGGCGGTGGGCCGAAGTGCCGGCCGTTTGCCGCTTCGACGGCGGGGAGAAGTCAACCGACGCGGGCAACGCGGAAGTGAAGCGCAAAGAAGTGCGTGAGAAAAAAAAGACTTTTTGGAGGGGAATATCAAAAAAAAGAGAAAAAAAAGATGGCAGCGGCTGCGGGAGGGATGGTGTGGGCCGGTTGAGGGGGGAGGCGATTTATTGGCGCGAAGGCAAAAAAAATATATAAAATGAAATTAAAAGGGGGAAAAAAAAGAAATTGACGCGGCGGCCGGGAGGAATGAGTGGGGAAGACGGAGGAGTGATGTCCCCTCCCCTTTTCCCACCTGATAAAATGCCGGGAGAAAAGGAATGAAGCCGAAAAAAAAAGGAGAAGTAAAAGTTTATTTATTTATTTATTTATTTTTTAAACAATGAGACAGTTTTGTGCCTGCGGGGTTGAGCCTGCGGGTATTTTTTTTTCTTTTTTGTAGTTGCGGATTGGGCCCAAATATTTCAAATGACTTCTCTTCTTTCCCGTCTCTTCTTGTACGTAACATACACGCACTCACCTATTTTTTAGCGGGTCCTTTATGAGAGCTCATGTCCATTGGTGATGACAACATTGTCGCCTGCAGCTGCGAGGCGCCCGCGTCCTCCTCAGAGGAATACTCCGACACGTTGGAGTCGTTGGACGCTCGGTTGATTGCGGAGGCTCACGCACGGCTTCAACGCCGCATGGAGCAGGGGACTTTGACGGAAAGTAAAGAACTGGCCTTCCCTTACTGTTCTGTGTTTGCACCGTGCGGTATGTTTCCGATCAGTACAGCG